CCAAGGCGAGGGAGGGCGGGTCCGCTGTGCAGAACGCTGCGAGGTCGGCAACGCCAAGGACAGAGAGGGACCGTGAGAGCTGACCAGGTCGCAAGCAGCCTCTGCGGCACAGAACACAGCCTGGGCGGGGAAGCGGGGGAAGCAGGGAGGAAGCAGGCGCAGTCGGGTCGCCCTGCTCGCGGCCCTGCCCAGCACCCACTCATCTGCTCCACTTCCGCTGCGGCTCAGCCCAGGCTGGCTGTGAAGACACCGCAGAGGAGAAAGGTAGTCTTCCCTTGGCATAGCGGGGACTGGCTCCGGGATCCCAACGGTAATTTGCTGATGCTTGAGTCTTCCGCATAAAACGCGTAGTTGGTGGCCTCACTCCCAAAACTGTACTTCAAAAAGTTCACGGAAAATGAAATTATAGTACAAGTTTATTTTGATGCCAAAAATCATGAAACCCGAACAGTTTTCTCATGATACACACTTCCCGCGACTTTTAAAGGCTTCCCCATATGCGGAAACTAAAACAGCTGACCTCAGAGAGGTAGAAAGTACAGTAGTGACCCTAGAGGCCGAGAAGGGTACCGAGCGGGGGACGGGGAGGACACCGGTCAGCAGACACAGGAGTACGCGGGATGAGAAGGATGGAGCCTAGCGCCACTCAGCAGAGCACGGTACAGACAGGAGCGTGGTCCATCACGTTTCAGAACACCGGCAACAGGTCATCAATGCTCCAGTGAAAGGGAAGATGGATGTTTGGGATGACGGACACGCTCTGCCCTGATTTGACCACGACACACTTATTCTCATGTGCTGTAAAGCCACGCCAGGGCCCACCCATAGTCTACTGGCCCACAGCCATCGCCAGACCCACATGGCTGAACACAGTTCTAATCCCAGTCCCAGCAGCTTGAAAAGCACACAGAGCACACGTGCACATGCCCTCATCTGACGGGTGGAGAGGAGCAATGGCAGCATGACCACACTCCGTTGGAGAGTGCCATCTCCTCTCCCTCTCTCTGGTGAGCACATGTACCCATTAGCAATGAGAAAGACAGAGAGGGGCCCGCAGGTGGTGCAGTAGTTGAGACGCTGGACTCCCACACAGCTGACTGCAGTTCAAGTCCCGGGCCCAGCAGCTTGTAACTCGCACCAGGTACATGTGCATGCATGCCCAAAATTCCAAGAGGAGAATGGAGAAGAAGGGAATGAGAAGTGGTCGTCCCTTGCAGGGGTGATTTCTTGCTTTCTGTCTCTCTGTGTCTCTCCAGCACACACACCCTATAGCAAAAATCTTTCTCTCAAAAAAGAGAGAGAGAGAGAAAGGGGAAAAAAAATTATACTGCACCCTTTAAATGAGTACAATTAGTACACACCAATTATTTAAAAATCAATAAAATGGTAGTATTTCATATAACCTATGCACAATTTTCCACATCCTTTAAACCTTCTCTACTGCTTGTAATACCTAATACACTGTAAATACTATGTAAATAGTTATCAATCTACATTGTTTAGGCAACAATGAAAGGAAAAAACAAGTCCAGACATGTCCAATACAGACACATTTCTTTTCTGACTATTTTTGAACCATGGAACCTGGAGGTGCAGAACCTATAGAGAGGGCTGGCCAACCATACACATCTGTTTTAGCCACAGGTCTATTTGAACTGTAACTCATATTTAAAAAGCCTAAACACTGGATGCTTCACTATACATAGAACTGACCGAACAACAAACTAATTTGATGATAACAATACTGAACCAACAGTAACTTAGTAATTAAGATGTGCTAACAGTGGCGTTTGAAAACCAGAACTGATTCAAAACAGGTTACAAGAATCCGGACAGAATGGGCACGTGCTGAAGCTCTGGAAGGATGCCAAATGTTGAGTGGCAAAAACATTCTCCAAGTTGTGAGTCAACTTTGGTAAAGATGTCAATTTCAGGGATCAAGTAACAAGGCCACTACATAGAACACCAGAAAAAATCATTACGATACACAGAAAATAAACATGTGGAGCTGCACCAATCACAGCGGGAACAAAAACCCAGCTCACACTGCGGGCAGTCAGTGGCCAGCACAGCCTCCAGCATAGCACGACGCGCGCGCGCACACACACACACACACACACACACACACACACATGCTGCTTCCTGGAGCTGCAGCTCCATCAGACCACCGGAGGCCTCCTCTAGCACAGACGGACCCCCGCTGTCTGGGTGCAAGATTCCCAAGGGTCAGAGCGGCCGCCTGTAGGTGCCCTAATCGAGCACGAGTCAACCAAGTCACACACGGTCGAACTCACTGGCCAAACAGCCCACAAACGGGGTTTGCTTAGCCTACAGTGCTGGGCTGCCCTGTGTTTGCCACTATCTAAATTAGTACCAAAATGTCTCAGTTGAAAGACTTTGCATTTAAAAAAAAAAAAAAAAATCTAGCTCCTCAAAGGGGGACCTGGCCAAGGCCCAGCTGCCCCGTTAGCTGTGGCATGTCCTTCCAGGGCCCTGTTGGTTCCACTCTCCAGAACAATCTACTAGACAGTGAGTCACATGTTGGCTGCTATTTCTCTTTCAAACTGTGCCATCATTCTTAAATCTGGCCTGTTTCATTCACTTATGCTGCCTTCCAACTGCCTACCATCTGAATTTGCAACCTCTGTCCTAGTAGGGCATGCTGAAAAGGGCCTCTCGTGATCTGAGCTCAGGAGAGACTATTGAGGGCTCTGAGGTGCCAGACTTAACTAAAACTGGTAGCTGATTTTCAGTCAACGACTTGCAAAGGTCAGATACAGCAAACTTTCTCTCCTGATCCTTTTCTAAGTAGCAATCTCAGTAGTTACCACGATTCACAGAACATCTGTTTCTCTTAATTACTTGTGAAGAGCTGATCAGAGCATGTTAATCATTCATAAATTAATGTTTTAATTAAAATATCAAAATATATCTATAAATAAGTTTCAAACACTTTGAGCACAGGTTTAGGGTAGTAAAATGAAACACATTTCAACAGAACAACAAGAACAAAAAAAGGTGCCCCCAAAACAGGATGAAAAAAAAAAGTTTAGACAGTGTTGCTTTAAAATGTCTTTTTACAGGACCAGCAGTTGGTGTAATGGCTATGTCGCTGGACTCCCATGTAGTTGACCACGGTTCAAGTCCTGGACCCAGTGGCTTAAACTCACGCCAGGCACGTGTGCATGCGTGCCCAAGATCCCGAGAGGAAAATGGAGAAGGGACTGCAGTGTGGCCATCCTCCCTGGGGGGTGATTTCTTGCTTTCTGTCTCTCTGTCTCAGTCTTTCTGGCGAGCGCACACACTCTATAGCAAAACCGCTCCAAAAATAAATATATAAATAAATAAATAAAAATAATTGTTTTATTTAAAAAAATTTCTGTTTACATAAGCATAGCAACCACAAAAAACTTCTAACTCTATAACAAGTACTAAGGATGTCCAAAACGGACTTTATTCTACCTCTCCCAATGACCAATTTACTTTCTTTTTAGACTGCTTTTGGATGAAGCAAATTTTCTTAACCTTTAAAATGAAGCCAGAGCAATAACTGAAGCACTGGTTACTAGTGACTGATTGGCAAGACTTACTATAAGCGCAAACTTATGTATGTTCAGGGCCCGCAGGTGGCGTGGTTGTTAAGGGTGCTGGACTTTCACATGGCCAACTGTGGTTCGAGTCCTAGACCTGGAGTCTTGCTTTTTCACTTTCTCTCTCCCTCTCTGGTCAAATTTAAATACATAAAAAAATAAATAAATACATATATAAAATTTTTAAAACGTATGTTCAACATTATATATGAAAAATCTATTTTTTTTTTTTGGAGAGGTTTTTTGCTATAGGGTGCGTGCGCTCGCCAGACAGACAGAGAGAGACAGAGAGAGAGAAAGCGAGGAAATCATCCCCCAGGGGGGATGGACACGCCGCAATCCTTTCTCCTCCATTCTCCTCTCAGGATCCTGGGCACACACGCACACGCGCCTGGCGTGAGTTTAAGCCACTGGGTCCGGGACGCGAACAGCAGTCAACTACGTGGGAGTCCAGCAACACAGCCATTACGTTAACTGCTGGTCCCCGAAAAATCAATTTTCTATAAACCTATAAAGAAGCCTAGAGCAAATCACACACTGTAACACTAAATTCTCCTTTTTACCACTGAAATGCTCAATTAAGTCTGAAAAGAGAAGCTAAAACACCAAAAGACATGAATGTGCAGAGGAAATGCAGTACCACTTCACCTTGGTGAGTGAACAGATAACGGTCAATGAAGCACACACTCAACACAACTGGCTGTGTTCTTTCCTACCAGCTGCTTGGGAGTCACTGTCCACATTCCAACACCAAGAAGACCCTGTAAACCTGGACCCAAGTTCCAACCCACAGTATCCCACCCTAACTCCACCACTGAAGAAATCTGATCTGCCAGTTACAGCAACAGGATGCCACATCACAGGGAAGCCTGGCTTCAGGAGAGACTGCTTACAGGACTAGGATGAGGGTCGCTGTAACTTGAAGATAGCTTTGCATTAATTTGTTACCAGCTGAACATTTTCCAGTAATCTTGTTTCCTAGTATACTAAATCAGACTTCTGCACTTCAGTCATCCTGGATATTCACAAAGTAGACTAACCACAAAGCAGACTAGACACCTAGGTATAAATATTATATCCATTACAACCCAGGTTTTTTTCCTTTAGGTGTTAATAGCACGAAGAATACCAAAGCATCGAATTTACCTAACTTGTACTGTCTGAAATAGAATTTAATTGGAATTAATACTACCCAATGAATAACAACTAACCAAAACAGCCTTTCCCATTTTCAACCAAAAACTGGAGTCTGAAATGGTCTTTGCTTTTTCCATGACTTGCAACATGTAGCCAGATTTTAAATATATATATATATATATAGCAACGCTTTACTAAGGACATTCTTGTGTCTGAACTTTCTTCATGGGAAAAAAACCATCGAGTCCAAGGGTGCCATTGGGATCCACTTACCCGATCCTTCATCCTCCAGCTCTGAGCTAAGGATTTGGAGCCTTCAATTTTCTCACAGTGCCTCTTTTTCATAAAAGCCAAGGGCAGGTTCCAGTCTGTAAGGTCGGCCTCATCTTCCTCCCCGAGTCCCAGAAGGGGGGACTGCAGCATTTCGGACTCCATGAGGAGGGGAGGGGGTGGGGGAGTCCTTGGAAGCAAGCGCTCGAGAACCTCCAGCCTTAAAAACGAATGTGCACCAGAACTGGCGGACTAAGGGGCAGAAAGGAAAGGGGGCAGTCGGCACTGAAAAAGGATGGGGGAGTGTGCGGAGACCCTCACTCGGGCAAAAATTCGGAGCGCCTTGACTCTAACTCTGCGCGGGAAGTCCAAGCGGGTGAGCAGAGCTGGGGGGAAACGGGGCAGCCCAAGGGGCTCTGCACGGACACTCGCCCCCAGGTCC